ATCCGCCAAAATGACGGGTGAATCTGCGCCAAGGTGGCCTGATACTTTCGACAGAAGCCAAGTTCAACCCTATCAAGGGGGCCCAGTGTAAAAGGATACGTGTACACATTCAAAAATCCCTTGACACGGTCCGTGATGTTCTCTTCCGGGGAAGGTATCTGCAGTACTACCTTTTCCCCCCATCCACAGTCTTTCCTCACCGACTCAAAGTGTCCCTCTCCTGTCAAAGAAGTAAACTTCAAGGTATGCTCCTGTTGACCCTGAGCATCGGGAGACCTTTCTGATGAGAAGTCCCCTTTCAAAGCAAAATGCCCCGAGGTAGGCCCGACTGGCATCAGCGGCGCTCCGCCAACAAGGCGATAACCGGAGGCGAAACTCTCTCCCCCTTGCCGGACGGATCCTGATATAGCAGTCATGACTATGAAAAAACTCGAGAATTGGCGCAGAAATTTGGGCAAGAGCATCAATACTGAAATGATGGAGGACCTAATGCAGGAAAAGAGGATAACTACTCAGAATGGCGGAACCTTCAAAAGGGCAAAGACGACCCTATATGTGGAAAAAGCGGTAACGATCCGCCTGCCTCAAATGCCGATTAAAAATACTGGCCAAAGCTTTAATCACTTTGGGAAGACATGCCGGCGGAATCGCCTCGGTCACTTCTTTACCATGTCGTACACTCGATGCTGCCATATGACCAAGCCTCGAGACCAGGCCTCGAGATGGTACCCGATCTCGAGGACCTCCATCAAAAGAAGATAGGCTCCAAGAAGCCATTAATACCAGTACAAGTCCTAAGATGGTACCCGATCTCGAGGACCTCCATCAAAAGAAGACAAGCTCCAAGAAGCCATTAATACCATTACAAGTCCTGAGATGGTACCCGATCTCGAGGACCTCCATCAAAAGAAGATAGGCTCCAAGAAGCCATTAATACCATTACAAGTCCTGAGATGGTACCCGATCTCGAGGACCTCCATCAAAAGAAGACAAACTCCAAGAAGCCATTGATATCATTACAAGTCTCGAGATGGTACCCGATCTCGAAGACCTCCATCAAAAGAAGACAGGCTCCAAGAAGCCATTAATATCACTGCAAATCCTGAGATGGTACCCGATCTCGAGGACCTCTCCCAAGAAGAAATTAAGCTCTAACATCAGCCGCTCATATATAAGCTTGACCTCGGGGTGGCACCCAACTTCGAGAATTTCAGCTGTTGCGAGTACGGATCGTCTACCCGATTCTCCGGACCTCGAATTACCTAAGCTCGAGCCAACTCCCACTCGAAGGCTACCGATAAAGCCTTAGGGCTATCTTTCGTCTTCAGATCAAACTATCTCTATTCTTAGACACCAGAGCAAACTCCCTCTCGAGGGGTATCGCGGGGTTTAAAAGAGCTGAGTTTCGTTCCGAAAGTTCGAAGCCTTACTCTTATCCAACTCGAAGTCAGGGGTCCCAGCGATCCAAGTTTATCGACCCTACCCGGGCTCGGTCCAAGGGCCGGCAAAAGATTCCACAAGGAATCGGATTAATCAGTCAAGAGCCGAAGAAATACTTGCACCCGGGCTCGACATTCGCACCGATCAGAAGAGTCACGCATTCAGATTCTTCGCAAATACAGGTAAAAGGAAATAAAGCATAATCAGAGACGAATTGAAGAAACATCTTTTCCATTAATAAACAACGGCTACAAAGCCCTCGAGGGGTCCTTACACATGATTACAAAGCCCACGAGGGGTCCTTACACAGAAACAAAGAAGCAAAAAGAAAATACATACAATGAAAGCCAAGAGTCTAATCTATCCTCGACGGCAGTATGTTCGAGCACCGCCTCCTCGGCAGCCTTGTCTCGACCTTCCAAAACGACATCTTCAAGGGAGATGATGAAGAAGAGGAAAGTGGTGCGGAAGAAGCAGAAAAAGATGAAGAAAAAGCCGTAGCTTGCCAAAGAGCAAAAGCTTTTACCAGGCCGAGGAAATCACGGCCCGGTAGAAGACTTGGCAACGGCCCTACTTGCACAACTACTTTGAGTCCACTTCTTGGGACATTGTTCCGTACAAGTTACCGGCCGATAGCGCCACTTCGCCCCACGGAAAGCAAAAGGGATGAAGTGCCACACCAGGCCGGGGTAGGGAGGTGAGCAGCGGTGTATAATCCAAACACCCTCCTGAGCAGTGGTGCAGAGTCCAAACATCTTCCTAAGTCGGAAGAAATCGGCCCCCATGTCTCATCGTCTCGAGCCAACGACGACAGCAATAACAACAACAACAACAACGGCTTAGCGCGATCCCGCTCGGTAAGGGAAAGCCCTGAAAAAAGGCCGTGGCCTAACTGATGAGAACGCCATCATGCAACCTTAAGGCCACGGGCCTCAAACATGGGAGATAACAATGGATGAGGATGAAGAAAATAAAGGAGTGGAAGGATATTGGAAGGCACTTGAATGAGGAAATGGTTCCAGGAGGTTTCCATTTATAGAGGGTGGCAGTGTAACCGACGGCACCATTAATGCCCTTGAAAGACGTATCAGCAGGCGCAATCAATGCGTTTTTTGGGAATCGAATCGACGGCGATAATTATCGCTTTGGAGAACAAGAATCGGCAATGTATTGAATGACACTGAAAAGATGAACCGACGGGACGCCTCAGTTATAGCAAAGGCCTACGTCATAAGTATGACATCATCGCGGGAAGTTCTGAGAGATGGATGTCAAAGTCGTTTCTTATCGTTCTACTCTAAGAAACGCGGGGACTATCTGTATACGGTAAAATCGGAGGGTCCAATTTTCGGCCATTACAACGCCTCGTGAGTAAAGGTTTCCAAAGGCCCGAGACTGCGGTCGAGATTTATCCCGAGGAGCCATCAGTGTCCAACCTCGAGGCAGCGCAAGTCAACGGTTATGGTAGAACAGTGGAAGTTCCCTAGGCGCACGACTAGGGCTGACAAAACCTAGAGGGCTAGCTCTAACCCGTATCAGGGCATTGAGTAGCTATACATGCCCCATATCTTTGTAATTAATGCTTTTGTACTATGTTCCCCCTCATATATAAAGGGGAATCCTTGTCATTTGTAGACATCTGATGCTCAATACCAAATACACAAGAACATTCTCTCAGCTCTCTAAAATATTCTCTTGATTTTACTACTTCATTTATTGCTTATATTTATTGTGTTCTATTTATTGTTCTTCATTTTTTGTTTATCATTGATCATAAAGGGTCATCATCATAGCTCTCATAACTGTTATCCCCCTCTCGACTGCCCCGAATCGGCCATCCAGCTCCACCCCGAGGCCTCACAATCGACAGCTCGAGACCCTCGATCTTAACTGTTTTGGTTCGACTATCATACCGTTTCTAAGCTATAATCCTGCTTTCTAACCTTTTACTTAGCATCCATCGCGTAAAAACTAGCATAAAAATAGATCGCGTATTTTTAGAACCTCATAATCAAATTTAATTGTTATTACCATTTTCAAGGTAAACACATGCTCAAATATATTGTTGCAATGAATTCGGAAGTGCAAAATCCAACTCGCGTTGAAGTTGCTACAGCACTTGTTCATAAATGTGGAGAGGCAGCTGCTATATCACAAGCAAACTCTGGCTTGCTCAGACCATCTCTATTGTACCACGTGGCGAATTTACGCCCACCATTGACCCTAAACACCATTGGAAATGCTAGTTCTTTCTTTAGCTGCACAATAACAGCAACAGAAGATGAGAAACAAGTGCCACAATTCGTTGCTCAAGTAAGGAAGGCTACACAACATCTTCAAGATTTGAAGGATAAGAATCCAAATCAGGTAGCCTCATATTCGCTTGAAAAATTCAAATCATTTGTAAACATTTCAAAGAGGAATTTATATGATATTTACGTATGCAGTAGCTTCTGCATACGTTGAGAGAAGTTGATATGTTGATGTTTCAGAGTAACAAGGAGCTCCTAAATTTCGCTTCTCCAGTTGTTCAGTCACCTGAATAAGTTAAAAGCCATCTTGCCAAGCTATTATATGTTATCTTCATATCATAAGTATTTTCTTATAATTCTTTTTATTTTGGAAAAGTTGAACAACTGTTGTCAATTCACTGGTCTACTTCAACTTACTTCTGCATTCTGTTGTACATGAAGCAAGCAATAATACTAGACCATCTTTGCTGCAGTGCAAGGGGATAGTCCCATTTTTATGAGCTGAAGAATTACTATGCTAGTTTCCCTCCTTTTTCCTTTTCTTTTTTCTCTTCATTTCTTTGTCAATTTAATCGGATTAGAGCAAGCTCACAAATAGGATCACAGATAATAGAAGAATGGAGGTTTTTTAGTGAGACTGATCAATGCTGAGTCGCGACCACTATCTTTCAACTCAGCTTGAGCTAACCGAGGACATGACCTTGGATAGAAGGGTGTGGAGGTTGAATATTAGGGTAGAAGGTTAGTAGGTAGTCGTGTGTTTCCCTTTGTCTTCCCTAGTTCGATAGTATTAGTACGGTACCCTTTTATACTTAGTTTGTTATTATCGCATTTCTTGTTCTGCTATTACTTGCCATCGGTACTTCCTTAGTTTGCTAACAGTACTTCTTCTCGTTTGATACCTTGGATTTAGTTTTCTAAATATATTGTCTTGCTATTACTTGCTATCGGTACCTCTTTCATATTCTCTGTTGCTATCTTCGATTTAGTTTTCTAATTATGTTATCTTGCTATTACTTGCTACCAGGGCTTCTTTAGCTGAGAGTCTATCGGAAACAGTCTCTCTACCCTTCCAGGGTGGGGGTAAGGCTGCGTACATCCTATCCTCCCCAGATCCCACTTTTGGGATTACACTGGGTTGTTTTTGTTGTTGTAGTCTCCTAATTGCAAGGTATATCATGAAGGTGAAATGATCTTTTACCAGTCAATTAATGTTAGATTGTAACAGAGGAGGAATCAACTTACCATCAAATACTGAACCATTCTGACATATAAACAAAATCATAAGAAGAAAACCAGTTTTGTGTATTTTGCCACAGGAAACACTCTCTCAAGTATCATTGTTACTCGTAAATAAATGTGTATGTATGTATGCATATATATACTGTCACCAACAAGAATAGTGCTCATCCTCTCCAAACTAATCATGGAACTTTGCCCTATGGGCTGCTAAAAATGTAAAGAACAAAATATATCAGCAGGCAACATGCGCAAAACTAATCATATAACACTAAAGATGCCAAGCATCAGCTAACTACACTAGCTGGTGAAAAGGAACAGGCATGAAGAGGAACCTTGTTACAAGCAACAATCTCACTGCAGTATCCAGCTCTAACTCCGTTAACTGCTAGTTGAACGTGCGCTGAAGTAGCATTTTTCGTCAGGACCAATTCACTCGCTGCAACTGCTTTGAGCCGTTGCCATTCTGCTCTAGACTCTATCACTTGGCCCAGAACAGATGCTGCAATGGTAAATGCCATAGCCGTTTTAGGCATCAACACAGATTTCCTCAGAATGCCTATGAATGGCACAGCTGCGTGTACTGCTGCAAACCATGACGGAGAAAACTTTTCAGTGTGTTCTCTCCATATGCCTAAAGGAACATTTGCCGCCATGCCCAAAACACCAATTACTAATACTTTTGCAGGCAGAGGTTGTGGTCGCAGGTTTTTCGCAAAGGCAGTCCGTGATAGAGCAGCACGACCAGCCACTATAGCAGGTGGACACTTGAGCTTCACACCAGGAGGGGGCTGAATAGACTTTGCTACAAGAGGAAGGACATTACTCATGGCACGGTATGACTTCGCAATAGGACAATTTCCATTATGCAACCACTCATTGCTTGGTGCTTCATGTTTTGAGTCTCCTCCCTGATAAAACAAACAAAGAAAGAAAAGGTTAGCAAGCAGTAAATATAAGTGAACTCTGCTTATGCTTTCACAGTATAAAAGGTTTGTTAAGGTAATCGACAATTATATTTCGTATTCCTAGATCTTTGTTACTACACGATGTGCCATTTGCTTCCGTTGTCTTATTTCCTTGCGATAGTTATTATTCGTTTATTGTGTCCTTTTCACTGTTCTTGAGCTGAGGGTCTATCGGAAATATACTCTCTTCCTTCATAAGGAAGGGTTAAGGTCAGCGTAAACATTACCCTCCCCAGACCCCACGTGTGGGATTTCACTGGGTCTGTTGTTGCTGTTGTTAAGTTAAAAAGAACTTCAGCCATTTTAACAGCTAAGAAAGCATGCCAGATGCAGAATAAAGACATAATTAATGGTATTGGACCTGTGATGAAGATTCTCTTTTAGATGATTTGGAGTTCTTCTTTTGGTTTTTCCACTTCTCCGAGAATGAATCAAAACCAAAAGGTCCTCCTGCTCCAAAAGCTGAGAGGCTTATGGTAGCTGCCTTTGCCGCCAACGGGTTGAACTGAGACGGTGCAGGTTCAGAATCTGGTTTCTCATTGCTAATCGACAGTGTCCCTGAAAGTGGAACTACACGGTTCTGCCCATGGAAAAGCCTGAATGCGATGTCAAAGTTAGGACCATCCTCAAAGATAGGACCTTTAGCTCCACATACCTGATTCAAGTGCAAGCACAAAAATGAGAAAGACTTCACTTCAATTTTAGTATGACCAAGACATCGTCACACCACCAGCTATTGGTGGCAGAGGCGGAGCTAGAATTTGAAGTTTATAGGTTCTAAACATGCCGCCAAACCCATAGCTCGTTATAGTTACTGGGTTCATAATTGAATATTTACACATTTTATGAATTCCCTGATACAAATATAGGGCTTAAGCAAAAGCTATTGGGTTCATCCGAACCCGTAACTTATACTCTCCCTCCGCCCCTGATCGGTGGCAGAGAAAAATGAGAGGCCTTAACAGGATAAATTCATTAATATGCAAGAAAAATTTATTCTGCAGAAGTGAACAATTAACAACTTACTGGAATGGAGAAAGCAACTGAGCTTGAGAAGGAAAAATTAGTCGGCTCATTGATATTCCTCAAAAATGGGCAACTAACAATGTCTTGCTTGAAATTTGAAGTGTCATCACTTGTATTCCTAAAGAAAAACTCCATTTTACAACAAGAAGAAAAACTCTATATTTGTAAGGTATAGATTCAAGCATATATATATATATATATATATATATATATATATATATATATATATATATGTCTTAGAACCAGAATATTATGAGGTCCAAGTTCAAGTACACATATTTTTTACAAACAAAAATGTTTGAACAAGTAGCTTTGAATTTAGACAATGTCTAATAACTGGTTTAATAGGTATTATTAGCCTAACTATTGAAAAAAAAGCTCATAAGGTTTGTTTAAGCAAACCTAATGTTGGAAATTAATAGGCATCAGAAAAGGAAGTATCCCTTATTTTTATTACTTACTAATTGTTTAATATTTTCCCTTAAACTTAAAATAATCAAACTAGCCGTCAGAGCAACATTTATATATACATGATATTTCGGAGAACTAAATACTGATTTCTTTAATTCCTTCATCTTTCCTTCTATCTCTTCTATTAAGCAAAATTCATTAATCAACAACAAACAGGATTAATACCCACTTGTCAAATTCGACCAACAACCTAAATCAAGTAACAAACAAACTGAAATTACCTAAACAATTAAAATGTTGATACATAGAATGATAGAAATAAAATAATATAGTGAATTTGAAAAGCAAATGTACCTCAGGACAAATAGTAGTATGAAAAAACAGAAGAAAAGATCTTAAAAAGAAAGAGAGAGATGTGTGTAGATGAGAAAGAAGAAGAGAAGAGGAGAAGAGAGTAAGAGCAATATGACGCTGTGTTGACCACACGCCAAATAAGAACATCTCTTCGCGCGCTTTTCTTGACGAAAGAATAAGTAATCCCTTAATCATACTTTTGTTGAAAATTAAAAATTAGTGGGGTCAAATAATAAAAAGGGAAAAATTCCATTTGCTCATCTCCTCTAAAACTATTCAATTTCCATTCATTATACCTTTGCTAGTCTTTTATTTGATCTTCATTTGTAAAGTATATTTAACAGCTTGTTTGGATGGTTGTTCCCGTTGTATCGTATTGTGTTGTTATTTAAAAATAATGTTTGTTTTGATTGTTTCATTAAAATTGATTGTATTGTATTGTTAAATTCATTGTTCCGGAACAATGAAAAGTCTCTTTTTCTGAAACAACTGATTTGGTGTGGTGGGATTGTTTCCTATTTTTCTTTCCAATTATGCCCTAACTTATTACTCCACAATTCTATTTTACCATTTAGCCTTTTTTGCTATTTTAACTCCAAATATCCAACCTATGACCTACTTTATTTTTTTTACAACTTCTGCCGCCAACGTTAAAGTGTTTTGACGCCTTCTGTTTTATTTTTTCTCCTAATTTGCTTTTAACTCAATTCTAATTAGTTGTGCTCCTTTGTTTTGCCTTCTTCTATCTCGCTCGTTTGTTCTGCTTTCTTAAGGTATTTTGCCTTCTTCTGTTTTGTTTTTTAAAAATATTTTTATGCATAATTTTTGATAAATTTAATATTTAAACATTGAGGGTATTTTAGTAAACTTATCAGTTACAGTACAGTACGATACAGTCAAACTAAACAGCAAAATATTATTTAACAATAACAAACAATACAATCTATCCAAACATTGTATTCATAAAACGATACGATACAATACAATACAATACATTATAAAACGATGAGGAACAATGATCCAAACAGAGTGTAAGAAAATTATTAAATTTACCCCTCTACTTTTTATTATAGTTTAAAACAACCTCATCACGCATTAAGTTGGAGCTATCTCGGTGCTGTTGAAGGTATGAATGAACACTTTACCCTAATTGGTTGGGGGTGGGCGGGAGCTTGATAATTGTTTAGTCCTTCAAAAGTTAGACTGTCATAAACCCGACACTATTTTATTTAGGCGAAATATATAAAGCGCCCCTTTAAGTTGTCCTCAACGATCATTTGAACACCTTAACTTGCATATGACCAGACAGACACTTCTATTTAACACATGCGTGTCTCGTGAACACTCGAGTTCAACAAGCCTCATGTGTGAGTTACACTCGCTGATGACATATCAATCTGATAAATTATTGAATGACATATGTATTTCTTAAATAGAATATACTTCCTCCGTTCCAGTTTATGTGAACCTATTTCCTTTTTGGTTTGTTCCAAAAAGAATAACCCCTTTCTAAATTTGGATACAATTTAGTTTAAACTTACAATTCTATCTTTAATGAGAAGCTTTTATAACCACACAAATACTTTGGGCCCCTTTTTAACTTATTTAGGACCACAAATTCCAAAAGTCTTCATGTTTTCTTAAACTTCGTGCCCAGTCAAACATGTTCACATAAATTGGAACTGAGGGAGTAGTCAATATTAAGAAATGGTTGTAATTTTCAATTAAAAAATAAGAAAAAGACCCTACTTTCCCACATCAGACCTTAAACCACCATAAAATAACCCAAAAAGTCATAAAACCTACTTTGTTTAACACCATGGACGTTGGATACCATGGACGTTGCAGCTCCCTCTTTATACAATTAACGAATGTTGCACCTTTCACGGTAGCTTTCTCAAGTTAGATGTTAAAACAGGCAAAATTCTATGGAAGACCTTCTTGCTGCCGGACAACGGTGGAAAACTCGGCGAATACGCCGGAGCCGCCGTATGGGGAAGCAACCCTTCCATCGATATCTGGCGGAACCACGTCTACATTGCCACCGAAAACCTCTACTCCGTGCCTAAACACATCGAGGAATGCCAAAAGGAGCAGAATAAACAAAACTAGACGAATCCGACCCGACCCGACAAGTGCATTGAACCCGAGAACCACTTCCACTCGATTGAAATTCGAAGGTTTTAGATGGGTTCTTTTTTGTTTTTCATATTTGGGGTCAATAAGGGAAATTCAAGGAAGTGTTAGTGGTTATGTGGTGGTGTAATAGTGGAGATTTATTGTTTTTGAATTTGCTTAATGACGGACGGTGATTGTGGTGGTGGTGAAAATTTTTGTTTTTTTTTTCCTGTCATGGAGGGTGAAGATGGAGAAGATAATTTGGGACAATGGCACAAGATGGAGGAGAAAATTGGAGGAGGTGGTGGGGTCCACATTAATTTTAGGGGAAAAAAAGATAAACCTAATTTTAAAGATCTTCACGCGCTTAGATTTAAGTGTAACACACAAAATTTGCCATGCCAGCGTAAGGGGTTTAAGAGAATATATTTCTACCAAGTAGAGGTGTCTGTCTGATCATATGGCAAGTTAATGTGTTCAAATGATCGTTGGGGACAACTTAAAGGGGCGCTTTATGTATTTCGCCTTTTATTTACTTTCTCAACCGAGGAGCTGGCAAAAAGTAAAATTCTCTAATTGATGGGTGCAACCTACTCAGCCCTGTCCGCACCCTATCTCCTCCTTCAAACCCTTGCTCCCCCACCACAAGTCCCCAACAGCCATTGACACCCGGACCCAGCACCCCCTTCTCCCCCACCCTTGACCCCATAGGCCTACCCCAACACCTCCACCCCCACCCCCTCCAGGGGCGGAGCTAGAGAGCTGAGTGCGGGTTCGGCGGAACCCAATAACTTTGGTTCGAACCATGTATTTATTTTAAAAAATTTATTGAATATGTATAAATTATTATTTTAGAACCCAGTAACGTAAAACAATTAAATAATTGCACTTGATGTTTGTACAAGACCAAGTAATTTAATGTAAGTTGTTACAAACTAAATATTATACTATCCCGTTGATATTATTAATCTTGATAATGCAAAGCCAAAGATTTTATTGAGGTCCCTTTTCGTTCTTTACTTCTTTGTCTTTTGTGAAAGACAAAGTGTCCTCATTGGTTATGGAACATTGGGGAGCGATCGGTATCAACGATTTGCACCCAGTCGGGCCAAAATCGCTTCAAGGCAGTGGCTTGCCACGACACAATATTTATCGATAAGTTGTTCTTGTTTCCGTTTTTTCCTTGTCAATATTATCTACTCATTTTCTTACCATCTCTTCGCCACAATTACGTGTTAAATGTAAGTACGAAAGACGTATAAATTTTTATAGCATAAAACTTTCTTGTAGTTGTGTAGTATAGTTATTCCTAGTTCCTTTTTTTTTATCTGGTCTAGAAAAAATATTATCTTTACACAATTTATTTTTAAACTTCTCATCTTATTCTTAATAAAATAATTTATAGCAATATAAATGCCTAGACCAAAAAATTTGAATTTTTTCTTTCTTAAATTTTATGCTCAGTCAAAACAGAGGATGTATATGAACTTGTTGGTCGTAAAAGCTAATTATATGTAGTCGACAATTTCGTTTACCTTTAAAATTCCAAATATTTGTTTATTTAACTTATTATTATTTTTTACTACTTTTCTAGTACCGCAAATATAAGGTAAAATCAGATTTCATATCTTAACCTTTTTTCTCTCAAACATCATCTTATAATACAAAATAAAGAGAAAAATAAAAGAAATGAAAGTACGATAATTTTACTATTTTACTTTCTTATTATCATAAGATATGTCATGGGCGGCTTTCCAGCCATGCCCCATGACCCCTTGGGCGCGCCCCGTGGCGTCCTAGCAAACCTCCCAATGCCTAGCGCCACGGACGGCCCCGTGGTCTTGGCCGCGCCAAGTGACAAGCGCGCAGGTGCCTCTGTCGCCCCACCGATATCCCTCGCGAGCGCCAAGCCGCAGGCAGAAGCCAGCAGCGCCGCGCGCGCAGACAACGCCGCGCGCGCAGACCGTGATGCCAAAGACACTGCTGCTGACAACGGACCTGCTGCTGCCTTATAGAAAACTAAGTCATTTTCATTGTAAATATAGAGTAGTTTTATTTCATGCACTTCCATTATGTTTCTCTAGCTTAGTCAAGTCTACTCCTGTAACTTTGGTTTATTTTTTTTAAGTACTATTAGGGGGGATCAAGCAATCAAAACTTTCTAGCAAGCAAGCAATTCTCTGTACCGGTGTCTCTCCCCCTCGACACCGCGTTGCTTTTCTGTAATAGCTTTCATTAATGCAATCAAGCTTTCTTTCATTCTGAATTCTCATTTCTGTTCTCTCAATTGCTCTTGACATTGGTTTTCCCG